ATTTTGATACTATTGAAAAATCACATAATTTTTTAAAACTTAAATTTAACATTTTATACTGAAATAAGTATTGTTTATTTAGCAATCAGTGTTTTGATAAAACGAATTATCAATTAAAAACTTTTTATTAATTAATAATGATTAGTTTATTAATCTGGATAACAAAACAAAGTGCTAAAGTAAACAAAAAACCAAACATTTGTAAAATCATTGTTATGGTTGTGAGCGTTTTAAGAGGAAAATGGAAAATCACCATGCAAGGTTACTTTTACCTAATGTTAGTAGCATCAAATACAAATAAAACAAACAGGTTTTTGCGTTGACAAACACATGTTTTAAAACGGTTGAAATTTTTGATTAGTTTTATAAATTAACTTTAAATAAGTTAATTTTGTTGATACATATTTTAAACTCAAAAAACTGATCATTTAATGTAAATAAATAGTGGATTTTTTACAAAAACAAAAATTGTTGTCAAAAATTTTTTACACAATCAAAGTTAATTTCATAGTAAAGTTGCCAANGTTGAAATTTTTGATTAGTTTTATAAATTAACTTTAAATAAGTTAATTTTGTTGATACATATTTTAAACTCAAAAAACTGATCATTTAATGTAAATAAATAGTGGATTTTTTTACAAAAACAAAAATTGTTGTCAAAAATTTTTTACACAATCAAAGTTAATTTCATAGTAAAGTTGCCAGAACTGAGTTAAACTTACAAAAATTGATGAGCAAACTTAGCAAATGTGTAATAAAAGCATCTACTCAAGCTATTTTATTAGTAGAAAACTTAAAACATTAAGCATTTAGCTTGATAATTGTTAAAATGTAAACTTTGAAAACACAAATAAATATGTTCATTGTTTTGCAAAGATGAACTTCAATTTAGAGCAGCAGAACTAACCAATCAAGCAAATCAATAACCGTTGCGGATCAATTTGCAGATCACTTGTGCATCACTGGTGCAAGACAAAAGACGGTGGTAGACACAATANTTTTATTAGTAGAAAACTTAAAACATTAAGCATTTAGCTTGATAATTGTTCAAATGTAAACTTTGAAAACACAAATAAATATGTTAATTGTTTTGCAAAGATGAACTTCAATCTAAAGCAGCAGAACTAACCAATCAAGCAAATCAATAACCTTTGCGGATCAATTTGCAGATCACTTGTGCATCACTGGTGCAAGACAAAAGACGGTGGTAGACACAATACACACACTCACACACTCACACACACACATGCAGAAAAATAAATACAAACACACACACTCACTTGGATTGCTTTTTGCTTAATTGACGAACTGTTGTTTGAAGTGCTGGCAAGTGCTGGCTTGCACGCTGCCTGCCAGGCTGATGCTGCTGCTGCTGCTGTTTGTTGCCGTTTTGCCTCACTGTTGCTGATGCTGCAGCTGCCCATGCGGCAGATGTTGCTGCTGCTGTTAGTGCTGGAGGTGAACCGAAGAAAGTAGTAAAGCGCCAGTGGAGTGCTCGTGGCAGAGGCAGTGATGGTGCCCGTGATTGCATCGAAGGCAATCAACATTGACTGACTGACTGGCTGACTGGCTCACTCTGTCGACAAGTGCCGCACTCGAAGGCAGCATTTCAGGGTGAAACGTGAACCTGCACTGCTTTCTGCTGCTAACGAGCATACCCAATGCACACCAACGCTTCTTCTGTCAACTGTTTCATTTTTAGGACTGCTTACCAATAACTTGCTTTTTCTGTTTATTAAATTAACCAGTAAAAAATGAGATTTTTTAGTTATAAAACATTGTCACCAGAAAATAAATTGGATTTTTAGTTCCCGTTTTAGTGAAACATTAAAATAAATATGAAATTTTAAATAAGATGTACAATTAAATTGTCAATTTCAATTGTCAAAAACGCGGCAGTTAAATGATTTTGCTCTTAAAATTGATAATTTTAAAAAATATTTTAAGTTTGAAATCACAAGAACTAGATGGTGCTATCATTGCATCAAAAAAATAAATGCACTTTTTTTATTCTCACAATATATGTTTTCGTTTTTTAACTGGTAAAATTGATTTGAATAACAAAAACAAAAATGGCAGTTTTTTATTTACAAACTCAATTTATTGGCGGTTTCTGTGTAATTTAAGTTGTTTAGTGTAAAATCCAAACTCAAACTTATAGTTTGAAAAGTTTACAAAGGTATAATACATTAAAGTAAAATTATAATACAGAGAAAAGTAATCATTTGCGTGAAACAATTGGATTAAGTAATTGCAGTTCGTTTTCATTGTCGTTAAACAAAACGCCCAGTTGATTTTCTATGTGAAACTCTATGAACTCAACAACAGAAGAAAAGGTGCGTTTGTTTGGCCCAGGAATTTGACGAGTTTCCATGTTAATAAGCTTCAGATGTTGGTGTTGGCCATTGAGCATTCCATTCAAAACCAACTGGCCTTGGATTGTTTGAGATTTGCGCACCAGAAAATCTCCATCAATTTTAATTAGCTCTTCAGCTTCGTTTCGAGAAATGTTCCCATGATACCAACATTGACTGTTAAGTTTGCTTTCGGCAGGAATTGGCAAGTAGTGATAAGGATTCTTTTGAAGCATCATTTGAAATGCCTTTTAGCAAAAATATACAATAAGATAAAAGTTACAAACAGAAAATCACTAACCTGTGACATAGCGAGGCCAAACTTAAACGAACAATCACTTTCCAGCACCACGCAAAGACGTCCTAAATGCGCAGTTTCACAAACATAACTTGAAAATTTCCCATCCTCGCTGACGCACACAAATGACACATCGCGCAAAGAGTGCTGAACTTGATTTACGTTGGGTTTCTTGCAGAGAATGAGTGCAAGGCGTTCAGCGGTGACGGAGATCAAGGCAACTTCCTCCTCACACACCGAGATGTTCATTGGATTTTGATAGAGGTGAGCGAACTGCTGATCCAACTTACGCGGTATCACCTGTCCTAAGTTCTTTGAGTTGGCCTGAGCCTCACGAACCAGGGCAGTGCATTCCGTAGTGAACAATGTTTTATCTTTTTCTGACAGCTCGTTTGGTGAGGCAGCAAGAGCGACAAAACCGAGATAACGAGCCGGAAAAGTGACGCCAAGAGTGGTGTGAAACAGCGAAGTTGGGTACGTTTTAGGGTGCTGGTGTTGGTGGTCAGAGTTGTTCGGCTCGGCAAGGAAGAACTTGCCCCGCATTGCGGAGATTATCCTTGGCGGTACTTTGGGAATGGTGAATTGATTCATTGTTGACTTTTCCGTGTTGCGACAGGCAGGAAAAATTACAACAATACAAAGCCAGTTTGTTGTGGGAAAAATTGAGCTGAAAGTCGCCTGATATCAGCAGTTGTCACGGTCATCGTTTAGCTACTCATAGGGGTTGACCTAAACAAACGGTTAGATTAACAGATTTTGCACTCTACTCATCAGATAAACCTTGCAACCAGCAGCCAAGTGTTTGGCCTGATGACGAGTTATCAAATTTTTAGCCGTTGGTGATTGTGCGCTTGTCATTCTACAGTCGATTACTATTAAATCGGTTTGTCAACTAGTGCAGTTCTTTGTTAAATAACTAGATTTAAAATGAGATTAAAGAAAAGTAGTTTACTCAGTGCCATTTCACTTTTTGTTTAAAAACGGAAATCGCCATTAAATTGATGTTGAGATTACGGTTTTAATATCAAGTGAATGCGTTTGTGTCTTTAACCCTCTGTCCTTACCACCCATTGTGTTTTGCTATGTTACAACATTTGCTGTTTTTTTGGACAGTAAATTTTGTAATAAAAACTGTTTCAATTTTTAAAATTATTTAATGCATGTTCAAAAGTTAAAATTTGACATATTGTATGTATTTATTCTAGCTTTACATAATAAAATTAAACAAATAAAAAATAAAAACTTTAAATATTTGTGGCTCAACAAAAAAATCATCAATAAGTAATAATAAATTACTTTGAAATACTATGCTTAAAAAAATAACAACAAAAAATGTGTGAAGGTTTCAAATTGTTTGTACTGTCTTTCTTTTTGCAGGGAAACATTTTTTCAGGTACTTTTTGGCTTGGTAAAAATGTTAAGGACGACAGAAGACAAACTCGTTGTAGTGATTCCAACGGGTTTCCTCTGACTCAATGCCCGGCTTCTGCGGCTCATTGGCGGGCATGGAGGCCGTACCGGAACCACAAGAGCCGACGCAGCGGAAACCCGACTCCTGCAGACAGTCGAAGGCCTGCTCCAGCATGAGGTGCTTGAGAAAGAAGCGCGCCGTGTAGCGATTGTCGTCGTCGCAGTGATCTGGATCGCGCGACTCATTCAGCGTGTCGCCGAACACCTCCCGGCAGATGGCCACCCGACCGCTGACCAGAATCTTGGTGAACTTGCGAAACTTGACGTCCGCCAGGCCGTCCCGGCCAAAGGCGAAGGAGCCTCGGTAGCCGACGGTGATGTACCCCGGACCGCCGGCGCCTTTGGGAATACCGTAACCACCAAAGTAATTAGGACTAGGACTACTCGGACTGCACGATTCGGCACCTGCTGCTGCTGATGATGATGATCCGCCGCCGCCTCCTGGCGAAGCTGCTCCGCTCAGCGACAACGGGGGCACCAGTGTTAGAGATCCACTTTTACTAGTTGAGGATGATGATGACTGCGGCACATTGGGAGGCTGCGGCACCCGTTCAGCGGACCTCGCTGACGGCGCTTGGCACTTGAGAGCACTGGCCATCGCCTCCAGGCCGTAGTACTCCGCCTCCAGACGAAGCTGCTCCCACTCGGCAAAGTTCTCCGGAAGAATGAGAGATTTGTTGCGAAGATAGTTTAAGACGTGGCGAAAGAGGCTGCCATCTCGATCAATGACGTAACGGCCCTGTGGGGAGCAATTAGTGTGCAAAAAAGTGTGATTAGTAATTAAATCTTTGCTAGCGAGGCTAAAAAGGGGGAAAAGGGGTTGGTTTTTATAAATATATACTACAAATTTTAGCGTTTGTAATGGTTGCAGTTTTTATTTTAACTTTGGTTTACAAACACAAATTAAGTTGACAAAGAAACAGTTTTGAGTGAAAATAGTATTTGTACATTTAAACTTTGTCAAATATTTTTTATGTCTACATTTATCTAGTAAATATTTTGACATTTTGTGTTATTAACAACAAAAACAATTTTGTCTGAACATACAAATTAGCAAAATAAAAAAACACAATTTAATATTTGTGTATTATAGACTGAAGTAAAATTATTTTAATTGAGCTATTGTTAATTTGTTAACAAAACAATGTTTAAGTGCACAATTTTTATTAAAATTACCTTTTGGTCAGTCGCAAGATTAGACACGGTGTTTGATTTAAACCATAATGCAAGTTTGCTGTTAGACACCTGGTTTAATGTTTCTAAAGTGGTCAAATAATGTTGCCCTCCGACGTTTAGCGCAAAAACATTTTTTGATGACATGGCAATAAAATTTATTAGCAAAACTTTTATTTGAAAACAATTAATGCAAAGTTTAAAACTTTATTATATAAGTAAAATAACTTTATTTTTGCAAAGTTGCAACATTTTAATTCTATTTCATATAAGTGGCAAATTATTGTTGAAACAAAAAGGTGTTAATAAAATTTGGGCAATATACCCGTTCAAAGTTAAAAAATGTTTATTTGTTTTAAAAGTTTGCTTTAGCACGTATTAGTTTAAAAGTTTTTCAGTAATATAAAGTCAATTTTAAAAATGTAATATTAACTGACATTCTGTTGTAACTAATAAAATTTTTTAAAATTTCCACAAAGTGTACAAAGTGTTTGACGTGTGTTCTGTCTCCAATGAAGCAGTCGACTGCAGGTCACCAGTTCTGGTATGAGCCTTTAAATGGGTTCTGCAATCCGTCGGTGTAAGCGTCGAACTAGTCTTTTTTCTTCTCTTCTGTTTGTGCTTTTTTCTCTTCTTTTGTTTTTATCCTCTATCATTGCTTTAAAGATACAAACTAACCGAGATACACTACTTATTAAACGAGACATAAGCTATCTGTATAACAATCTCAAATTTTGTTTGTAGCAAAACAGGGACGGTGAAAAACAACACAAATTTTTTAACTTTTACATAAAGTTTTTTACTTTTTGAATCAGTTGCTCAACGGCTATTAAAAACAAAAAATTAAAAAATGCAGCATATTTTTAATTGTTTAATATTTGTATAGGTTAAAAATTGATACTCAAAAAAATGCAACATTTTTAAAATTGCTTAAACCATTTATTCATCTTATTGTAAAATTTTTTCATTGATTTTTTAACTATATTCTTGTAAAAACTTTATTGCAAAGTTAAAAAAATTTTTATAAAACAATAAAAAGTTTTTTTGTTAAATCAAAAAATTATTTTAAATTTTAAAGTTTTAATCATTTAACTTTTTTATGTTAAACAAGTTTTAATTATTTGTAAACACAAACCAAATGTTTAAATTTTTTATTTAAACTCAAAAAATGTTTCAAAATTGCTATTTTTTAATTAATGCAGTTTTTGTTTTGTAAATTAGCAATTAATATTAAACAGATTTTTTTTGTTTTGTTTTTTTATTTTGCAATCTGTTTTTGTATAAACAGTTTAAATTTTTATTAAAGAATGATTTTATCTGCTTTTCTATTTTGTCATTGTCAATGTATATCTAGTTTATCTATTTAGTAAACTATTTTATTCTTATTTAATATAAACGTTATTGAACTAATACAAAAAATATATGAACATTTCGTTATTTGAATTCATAAACTTGCTTGCTTCTTAAGGTTTTGTTGTTTGTTGGTGCAATGAAAAAGATGAAGCATCTTGTCTGCTGTTTTTTATACTCTTATTTTTGCTCTATTAATGTTAACGTTTTAGACGTTATTAGAATACACAAATAGCTAAAACAGTGTAAATAATGTTGATTGAACAATGTGTTCTTAAGTTAACACTAATACAAAAATTTAAAATTTTAAGGTTGGATTGCTTGTCAATATAAAAAAATGGACGTTAAAAGTACATTAAATATCAAATGTTATAAAATATTTTTGATTTGTATGAATACTTTTATGATACTTTAAAATTATTTTTAATAGTTTTTACATGTTGCATGTCCCAATCAAAATTTTATTTTTTACATACAATTAAAAATAAAACGTGTTTAAGTTTTGTTTTAGACATTTTATTATATTGAAATCAAAACAGTAAAAATTTTAATTTTAATAAAATTGTTTTAATATAAAAAAACATTTTTATAAATGACATAGCACAAAATATGAAAACAAAAAACGCTTGTGTAAATTTCATTTAACACTTAAAAACTAAAATGTTAGTAATTTGTCAAAAAGTAGTGATGCAAGTTTAAGTACTGTTTGTGATAATGAGTGAGAAAATTTTTAGATTAACTATCAACATAATAAGAAATGAAAAAGGAATGTTGGTAATTGATGATCTAAAAAAATTGTATAATGTGTGCGTTTATAAATTTAAACAAAAAAGTGTTTATTAAAGTTTTTTTAGTATTTTAAATTTTTGCTATATTGTAATGTGTAATGTGTTTGTTTGTTGACAATGCTTTTTAATTTTTACATTTTAAAAACTTAAATCATTGATTTTCATATTTAAGTTTTGTTGTTATGTTTTTTTCAAAACAAAAAAATATCTGTAATGTATACTATAAAAATTTTTAGCCATTTCAATTCTTCAGTATGTTTTACACAGTTGTGTTTTAAATAAGTTTAATATTGCTTTTTGATCATTCTATAAATGCAAACTTTAAAAAAATTGTTACATTTTAGATGACAATAAAACTAGTTTGTAAAAACAAGTTTAAATGATATTTTGATTATTAAATGTAAAACAAAATATTTGAAAATTAGAAACTTCTCTGCAGTACATTAGATATTGATTAAAAAATTTCAAAAAGTTTTATAAAAATATTAATTTGTGTGAAAATAAAA